CATGCCACCTATCAAGATCTTTAATTCTTAAAAGAACTTCCCTTTTCTTGTTATCTCCTCAAGTTATTAGATGAGGATATATTAAAAGCAATAAATGAAAATAAAAGGATTGGATACATCTTCTTTCTTTACAAAAAATAAATAAATTATACTAGCTATAGTTAATTTCTTATTCTTATTTTCAAGAAGAAGTGGTGTATAATGGAACAAGACTTTACATTAAATTATTAATGATGAGGGTTTGTTTTCCTAGTTTATTAGTTGGTGTTGGAGATAAGAAAAGGTTACAAATCAAAGAGCGCCTAATAAGTTAGATTGAAAGGACAACAAGTGGATAAACCAAATGTAGTACTTGTGGTCTACATTACAAATCTAATTTATTCATCTATCTATCAATAATTAATAATTAATAATTAATAATTGCAATGAGAAAAATATGGAACAAAAGATTACCTATAAAAGTACAAGTTGTTTTTGCGGGCCAATATATACAGGAAGAGAGTGAATTATTATGACTATGAAATTTAAATGGGGATTTATTTTTTATATTTATAAAGGGAAAGTTATATATTTGATCAGTCAATTTTAATATGTATAGTATATTTGTTAACTAATATATATATATATAATATATATATATATATATATATATGTACATTATAATATTAATATATATAGATATATAATCTCTTCCTTTCTATTTATGTGACGTATTTTAACTCAGCACAAAGTTTAAGAAAAAAATAAAGATTTTTAAAATTTATAGTACAAAATAAGTCATGGATATTTATTTGGCTATAAATTATTTATCAAAGAAAAAATGTAAATTATAAGTTAAATTCTTACTCAATATAGAATTGTATCATTCTTTTTTAAACTAACTAAAAAGAAAGTGAGTCATATAAATTGAGACAAAATATATAAGGAGAGAGTGTGAGAGAGATGTTATTCTATTATTGGATGGATTTATGTCAATTTCCCAAATAACACAATTTTGGACTCTTAGGAAAGGAAGATTAAAAAAAAAAAGGAAAAATTACCTAAATGCACAATTTATTTTATCATATTCTTTAAAAATTTCTACCATTAGAAAAAATTATAAAAATCTTTACTCTCTGCTATTCTCGGATACATCACTTTATGCATGTATCAGTCGGATACATCACTTTACGTGATGTATCAGAGACCTACGCGATGTATCAGGATGTTGAGTGATGTATCCGAAACCAAGACGTGATGTATCGGGACGCTGAAGGATGTATCCGAAACTAAAATGCGATATATCGGGACGTTTTTAGCAGAGGCGTATTCAGAATTTCGTAAGGATGAGTGCATTATTACGAAAAGATGCATCTAAGATATAAATTTGATCGGTTTAACCTTTAGGTTCTTAACACTGAACCATTAAAAAATTATAGGTCCAACATATATAATACTACTAGTTTTAAATTTTAATATATACATTTGATTTAATTATATAAAAATTATACCAAGCTAATTTTATTTAGGAATTTTCAATGTTACACATTTGAAAATTTTGAAAAGATTAAAGACAAAAAAATAAAAGAAAAATTGATTGAAACGCGAAAAGTGCTACCGATAACCACTTGGAAGGGGGTGTTAGTAACAAAAATAAGATAGATATAAGATTTAAATTTCTATATTTGCTTAAAAAGGTGCACTCAATCTTTATCGTATTATATATGTTACTTTTAACGTGGGTTCACACCTCTATATTTAAATATTTTTTAAAAAATATAACACTACTATATATAATCTAGAGAGGGGAGGATGGGTTCACGTGAACCCACAGAACCCCCTCCAGATACGCCTCTGGTTTTTAGATGTATCTGAATTCTATCAAATTTAAGGGATTTTTATAATTTGAAAAAGAGTAGAAATATAATGTAATTAAATTTTAAGACTATGAAATTTGTGTAAAAATATTACAATGTTCGTTATCTGCATTAGACTCCCAGTAATATGATTTCACACGCAAATTAAATGACATTATCATAATATTCTTTCACTGTCCAGTCATTTTTTTTCATTTAACTTTCTCAACGGTTTTAGTGTTATTGATCACCCTAAAATAATCTAGAATGTTCCAGATAATATTATTCCCCTTTCCAAGTTTTATATCACCATATAAATTACCAAGTCTATTTTTCAAATTGTCATTAATCTTTATTTAGCAAAAGAAAGTGAACTAACTATATCTTTATCAGTTTAAAATTACTTATGACTGGTCATTCAAAAAGAATAAAAATTGATTGGAAATAGCTCGTAGTGGACAATTACAAAATTTAATGAATCTATATTCATTAAAAAAGTAAAAGGTAAAAATTTAGAGGTTGTTAAGTAGAAAAAACTTTGGCTATATTTGTTAACGTGGAAACCCACCATACAAATTTAAGTGATGTAACATGCCTACTTGGATGTTTGGTAAGAGTTATTCACAATTAATCATAAATTTAGCAATTTTAAAATTACAAAAGATATTTTTCTGATTTCTATAAAGAAGTTATCGTAAATTGGAATACTATTTGAGACATGTACGAAAGTAGTAAATATGAAGACAATGCTTAACTTACCCAAAAAGGGAAAAAAGAAAGATAATGAAGGGCATGTTCGATACTCTCTCTGTCCCTAATTATGTCTAATTTTTTATTTTTACTCGTCTATTTTGACAAATCAAAAAATGACGAAAAATTTAACCTATTATATCCTCAATTAATTACTTTGAAAAAGATAAAAACTTCTTGAAAATCTTAAATTTGTAATTCATCAACTTCATAATTAATAAGGGTAAAATGGTAAAACTCACTATGTCAATCATTGTTTTCTTAATAGGTGTGTTAATTTAAGAGTCAATAGCAAAATGGTGATTATACCCTTATAATTGTATTAGAACGATTGAAATCCCTCTATTCTTAATTAGAGGTCTCGAGTTTGAGTTTTGAATATAATTTTTTTTTGTTGGGAGTGTAGTTCTCATAAATAAGTATTGCAAAGCGTTGATCAAAATTAATCAGATTTGACATAAACTCTGCAAGTATAAATTCAAATTAACTAGATTCTAATACAAATATCATACATCAGGATGAGGGGAAAAAAGAAAAAAAAAAAGGAAAAGGTGATTACACTCATTTGATATATAGATAGACCGATCTCAGTCAGGTTAGAAACAAAGGAAGATGTGAAAAAACAGTATAATTGTTGAAGAGTGAACATGTAATAAATTATAAGGTGACACCCACAAAAGTGTTGTATACAAGTAACAAAGCCAATCACCCATGTTGGCCACACATTAGGATCTCATCTTCAGTCAGAGGGTCCACCAACAAAGCCAACCAATATCTATGTTTGCATTGTCTTTGTCTTTTTATGTTAAATCTTTTCAGGCCATCAATGATGTTTTTCTTGAATACCAAAACAACAAATTTTTACTCTCTTTCTATCATCATAAAAATATTTTAAAAAAAGTTTGCTCAATCTTTTCTCTTAAATTCATCTTAAAGTTACCACTCACAGACTATAGTCAATTTTTGGACCTTATGGAATCCTGATGCACTCCCACAAAAAGATTTAAGATAGATAACAAATTGAGTTAGGGTTTGTTACCCCCTAAAGTCCACTTAGACCGGTTCAAATTCAGGCCAACTCGTCTATTTGATTAGTCACAAACTTGATTTTAGATATGTCACCTTATCCCAGGGGTTATAATTTCAAAACTATAACCCAAGACAACTTGGTTCGCAAACCAAACAGACTCTTGTGTTTGTTAAAAAATATTTTTAATTTTCCTATGTTGGATTTATCAAAATGCCCTAAAAACATTTTTTCTAGGAAAATAAGTTTCTTAAAATGAGGAAAGTAATTTTCCTAATGAAAGTAGCGAAAATAAATTGTATAAGTGATATTTCAAGTGTATTATCTCCTCCCCAGCTACCCAATCCCCCCAACCCTCACCCCTTGACCATCCCCATCCCCACTCCTCATGGACCTCATCCCTAGCCGACTTCATAACGTTTTGCTAGATAACATATAAATGCTCTTGAAATATTATTTTCTTGCTTCCTCACCAATAAAAAATAATGAAGAATAAACTCACTTATTTTTCAAGAAAACATAAAAAATTCATACCAAACACACCCTCTATATCAAAGATGTAGAATACCCTTTGAATAGAGCTTGTTGTTTCCATCAAGAGGAAAAGAAAAATGAGAAAAAGGGGGAGGAGTTATGGGAAAGAGAGGGCCCAGGGAGGATATGTTTGTGGGGATCAAATGGAAGCCAGTAATAAAAGCAACTTTTATTGCAATTTGCAAAAAGGAGGCCAAAAGTAACAAGGAAACAAATAAAAAGAAACCTAAGTAAAGAAGGGGATAAGCATGTACAAGTTCAGTTTCATCTAAATAGAGGGCCCTTTGTCATGTTGTTGGGTATCACTATTCACATATATGTCTTGTCTCTTGCAAAATCTATGAATTCTTTATTCATTTCTTTCCTTATCTATTATTTGATAACATTAAACATATAAATGCATTTTTTTTTGTACAAAATTTTGGTCAAAAAGAGCTGTCATTTCTCATCTGAGATTCCTATCCTGTGGTGCTCTGTGATTGGGAACTAAAAAGATCTACTTTCCCTCCCCTAAAACCCTCAGAGCATCTTTGCAGAAATGTATGTATCAATCAAAGTACCATTCTGCTTCTCCACATACAAATCACCAATACTAACTTTTCCTAAACCAAAAAAAATGACGTGAGATTTGATTCTTGGGAGAGAGAGCACTCAAACAGTGTCTCCCACTACTTTCACTTTTCACCTGTGTTTACCAGAACTCAAACTCGAAATCTTTGGTTTGGATGGAAGAGAATGATGGACAAACACCAATATCATTAGGCTTTTCAAAACTCAGAAAGTTTAAAGGTTAACATGAATTTATATAATGAGCATTCAAAATACTGAAATGTATGAAAGAACAAAATCAAGAATTTACCAGCAAGATGATATTTTTGATTCAATTAGATCTGCAGGGCACATTAACAAAGGAAATAGATTTCTTTCTTAAGGGGGGGGGGGGGGGATTTTATTTGT